TATTGATATATAATGTCCCACAATAAACTGATTATTTTTGAACGTTTATCATTTCTATCCAATTTATATTCCATTTATAACATGGGAAAATGTCGGAAGGCATGATGAAAATTAAGAAAACGATATTTCTGTTAAAAATATTTATCTTAGGTCGGAAACACAGTGGTCGGAAAGCAGAAAGATAATCAAACAAAAGGATTTTTCTGCTTAAATATCTATATTTCATTAATAGATACTACCAGACTAAGAGAGTATTATTATTAAGTTTAAACTGAGACTGAATTTATTCTTAATAGAATATGATTAAAATAGTCATACAGTAGAAACGTGCATTATGTCTCACAGGTTTGAACAGTCATTACATTTATGAAAATTATATGCAACGTATGAGCACCAATGAGGGTAGGAATGCCCTTTACCGTCAGGCAAACGGTCATTTTCGGCTACCGTTAGGGTCAAATTAGTTAAAATTTTACCGTTATTCGTTATCCAAAATATCCTTATCGTGATTCGTCAGAGGTCTCAAATAATTATCGTTACCGTTATTTTTGGAAAAAAATTAGCGTGATGCGTCAAAATCAGTCAATTTTTGCGTGTACCCCTGAGGGTTCACGCATATTAATTAGTTAGAATTATAGTCTATGGAGGAATATTCGAAACCCTTATTATTGTTCATTCGGAACATTTATATTTCTTATCTGTTTTAGCTTCCTGCAATTTAGAGCACCTCCATACGGATCATTTAAGATATCTAAAACTTGGCAATAAAGAACTTTACACAGATCGCTTAACCTCACTTATATGCTATATGGTAATAAAAGATATAGTTGATAATATATATAGAAAAAAATAGAAATAGATTCCCATACGTATATTATTTCGTAAAGAATAATAATGATTCAAAACATGGACACATGTACCTGAGTCCTTAGTCTTTCAAGAATTCATTAAATTAATCTAAAAATAATTAATAAGGCATTGAGTAATGGTCAACTAGTAGGAGACATTAATTAATGTTCCTTACAACTGATCATCAATAAGTGTTACTCTACCACGAGACGCATTGAGAGATTAAATGATCTAATATAAATAAAAACCATTTTTGTAGAGGCATAACTCTTAAGTTCAAGATACAAAAGATTTCATTATAAATAAAACACACGAGGTAAAAAGGGAATGCATTCTTAATGCCTATGATGAAACGTAAATGTACACAAAAATAATCATAGATAATTTAAAAGAAACAGTTATCAATGCAGAAGAATTAATTGACACAAAAGAATATCCTTTAAAGATTCTCAACAAAAAAGATTAAACTGCATTTGTTTAATCAATTCTAAGAAACAATAAATTTGAGTTTAATGGAAAGTTATACAAACAAGTTATAGGAGCGCCCCCTCCATAGTTGGTAAATTTTCATCATCATGCACATATCTGCATCTGTCTGTCCTATTAATAAATATCTTAGATAAGTTCAAATGGAAAGAAAACATCAAATTACACTGTCAATATAGAGATGACGGTTTTATTGTCTTCACATTCAAAATAGAGCAAGTAGAAGATTTCTTTAACATAGCGAACAAAATTTCCCCTATACTTAAGTTCACATATGAGGTAGTAGTTGGGAGACTTTTGAAAAGGACCCATGCTTAAAAAGTTAACTTTAAGCTAAAAATTCCAAAACACTGTTAAATTTCTGAATTATAGGCAACAAACATAAGTTAGCAAAAAACAGTGTAAAGTTTTGAGATTTATTACGTATGTTGATTTAAGGAACCGCAATTCATAATAATCGAATTATCCTGCGACTGATGATTATATAATATTTGGTAAACCATGCTTGCCAATGAGAGAACTTTTCATTGAACATGGCGTTGAATGTTGAGTCTTAGCAAAGCGAGTTAATGACATCAAATTGACCAGTGTTGTACAAGATGTAAATCAATGGCAATATTTTCATACAAAAAAAAAAACGAGAAAAAAGACACGATAATAAGCAAAACAAAAAACCAGGCTCCGGACTTGGACAGGTATATTAAGTTTACATGTATAAGCAGCAAATTGAATGTATTAGCTGGATCCAAACCCATTTCTAAGGTGGAACGGGATTTTACGGCACAAAATAAAATGGTAAGCAAGTAGATTTTGTCTTATTTGGTAGGAATAAAACTTTCACATTTTATGAAACAAAATATCGTACTTGCTCTGAAATATGTATTTTAAAAGGAAAAATATATAAAATTACTGAGGGATTTTAGTTGAAATATTACCTCTACCAATTAACACCCTAGAAGTGTCATCCATTGGTAGTAGTTTGACCTTTCACACTGGTAAAAATGAAAGCTAACACCATCCAGAAATGAACTATTGAAATTAGAACATTCCTTATCTCCCTACTTTATATTTAACACCACTCTCAACATGCTATAATTGTCCTGATTTACAATAAAAAGAAAATATTATCCTCCACACACATAGTAATGAAAATACTGAGATATAATTTACAATTCAGTTGAAATAATAATTAGCATAAAAAAAGTTCTAAGGTTCATGTATTGACTTTTTTAAAAAAAAAAAGCAACTTGTTTTATCATATAAAAGAAAGTGTACATTTTATCGTCATGCACCAAAAATTACCATTAACGTCATTTGGCAAGAATTTTTACCGTTATTCGTCATGAAGGTACCCCCATTACGACCCTCGCCAATGAGCAGGGATGCGTACCCAAAGGTAGCTAAATATTTAAATTTTAAACAGTCGTGAATGAAAAAATATGAAGATATGATAGATAAAATAAATGCATCCAGGTTATAAAGCAAACTGAGTGCTTAAATTTATATTGCGATTGGTTTGTGCAATTTGCATTAGACATCCGGTTTGTAGAAACTAGGATTTGCAAAAGGGTTATGAAAAAATGATGTATATACACTCCTAAGTAATAAATAAAATAGTCAAGCCTTAAAATGTATATTCACATAATAGCTGTACAACTCATAGCCAGAAATTAGTAGTACTTTTGCTAATTAATATTCATAATATATAAATGGGAATTGAACCACGTGATAATAGTTTGAACTGGACTGGCTTGATATCATTAAAATCTTTAAAACACGGATATTATAAGTTGCCCGTCACAGAGTCCTTGTTTATAATCCCTCTGATATTTCCGTAAAGTTGTCAGGCGTTCAAAACCAAAACAATGAACGCGAATTTAGTGAATTTTTCGTGTTTTCGTGAGTTTATTCTTCTTGAAATAGGGGCATTTTAACTTTACGTGGGAACCTAGAGTTCAACGACTACACATACAAGGTTTGGACTTGCTTATTCTTTGGACATTCAAGTTTCAAGTTTCATCCCCGCAACCTGTTTTTGTAATGACCTTGTTAGCCAATTTTCAACACGAAGTTTGCAAATTTGACGTTTCAGCCATTTTAGCCTGTATTTTATACTGCAATGTTAAAAGCCTCTCGCTTCGATTTTTAAAATAGCTCAGGAACCTTGATTTTTGCAACGACAGTCATTATGTTTCGTTTAAATAGTGTGTATTGTTGTGTATATTTATTTTCTGTCCCTGCAACCTGTCTAACACTTAAATTAAAGTTAAAACAGACATTTTTTTTTTCAAAATTCCCTATCATTTCAATATAATTTCCGTGACCCGTATCCGATTTCTTTAGTATCATATTCAAATAAGCAAAGTGGCGTTGATTTCTGGATATGTATCCAACATTGCCTTCAAATGACTTGTGCAAAAATCTACACACAATTACATATTTTTAATAAAGGTGTTTTAACATCATCATTATCTTATTCCAATCACAGTCAATTAGTTCAATTCAAAAGCAAACAATTTTCAACAACAATTTGTTGGTGACCAGTCAGCGGTTTTGGGTTCACGTATTGCTTTTCTTCTTTTTTTTTTTGAAAGAAAGCAACTTGTATCTGTGCGATGCTTCTTGATTGGACTGATGATAATCTCCGAGAAAAACAAATGGCTTTAACTTTGACATTTCTGTGTCTTTGTGAAAAACCCGCGAAAAATGGAATGTTACCTATAAAAACTCCTGAGATTGTTTACATTGAAAGTAAAGATATCTTTATTATGATTATTTTTCTTAGTGATGAAAACTGTATATATAATAGTCAAAATAGAATATAAAATAACTATTTTGAGGAAAAAAAAGCAAACTATAAATCATTTCCCATGTTCCGACGACGAGTTGTTGTAAGATTATGGTACCTTGTTTACATTTCTAAAAATAACCCGGTTTGGGAATTTACGCAAATATGAGTCACGCATTCTGTGCATAAAAAAACAATTAACATTCATTGTTATAAATATATTTAAGTTTTTGTTTTTTTGGCATCTTCTTCTTCATTGTTCTTTTATGAAAATTAATAAAAATGTATTTATTTCAATTAACTAAAATCTTTAATTTTGCATATACAGAAAATAATATAGATCCGCAGATAATCATGTAACAAATCATATGATGACCGGCTTAGGGTCGGCCCATAAAAAATTCAGTCAGTGGCTGGCGGAAGTAGTCAAGAAGACAGTATTATTTTGTCAGGGGTTGACAGGATACACGCAATCGTTATTAGTTTAAACTTCAACAGTATTATTTTTTTCAGGGGTTGACAGGATACACGTAATCGTTATTAGTTTAAACTTCATGGTTTTTATGCAAGCATTGGGCTTTATCTCTGATCTTATTTCTGTGTGCACAATTCTGATTCTACATATTTCACCTTTATCAATATTAGGAAATCTGGATGATTCCACATATTATGGTTTAGGGTTTTTTAGATTCAGTGTCGAGTTAATGTATATTATTTAGCGTTGTCTGCGAGAAATAAATCATTTTTCTGATTATGTAACTAAATTCACAATCAATTTCAATATAGTTAACATATATATTTGATTTAACTGTGTAAATTGATCGGGATGTGAATGACAACATAAACCTAAAATTCATTATGGTCTATCCCGTTTTACACATGACATTTGTGCGGGAACTTCTTCCATTGATATCGTAATTTACTATTGAATTTGGATTATTGTGTTTGGATGTAAGGTGATGTTATATGATTTGTTTGTTCTTCTACAGTACATAGATTGTACATAAATTGACGTCAGGTTTGTACACATAAAGCTCTAGTCTGGTCATAACTGAAGTGTACATCATATCCCATCATATTTCAACCAACATTGGCAACAAATACAACGGATTTATTATTAATGTATGTTACTTATAGTGTTTTTTTTTTGGGCGAAAATTAACTTAATTTCCCTGAAAAACTTCCTTAATACACACACATTATTTAAAGTTGATATTTTCTTTATATTTTGCTGTGTCAAAATGACCTAAATATGAAGGACAGTATAGCCTTGAAAATTGTATATCACGTTTTACACATGACATTTACATGGGAAAAGCTTCCATTGGAATGTATCACCATTGCGACAATTAATTTGTTTCTGAATTTATAGGCGGATCCAGGGGGCCTGGTAGAGGCGGATTTAGGTGGCCCCATCCCCCTTTTGTTGGGAGAATTTGGTTGATTATATAAGGAATCACTAAAGCATGACTGGAGTGGGCCCCCTCTTAGTCAGTCAGTGGGCCAGCTCTCACTTAAAATTTCTGGATCAGCCACTGCCTGGGGGCCGCCCCCCCCTTTGGTGGGAAAAATTTAGGTGATTATAAAGGGAATCACTGAAGCATGATTGACTGGAGCGGGTCCTCCTTAGGTCAGGCAGCGCCCCCTTATAAACAGTTTTCGATCCGCAACTGGCATTGTTATTTACTGACTGTTTTAATTTGATTTCCTACCACTACAGTCATTCAAGTACAACAGTATCAACATTTGATGTCGGGTTTAAATTTGTCCACATACATATCAACAAAAACAAATATAATTTCGATTAATTAGCTCCCCTTATTAGTTTTGACAGAATTTACACACAATATAAATTATACATTACCTCCTCCATTTCTTTGACAGAGGTAAGGGAATCTCCAGACATTTCCTAATCCAACAGCGTAAGATATAACCATAAAAAAATATTGTAATTTAGAATCCCAAGCAACACGTGGTTTTTCATTTACTTCTCTTTCAATCGTTACTTCTAATCCTGGATCATCAGAATATAACTTTTTAGTTTCTACAGTAATATTTTTCTCTTTTTTACCCATTATAAAAGTTTTATTTTTAAATCCGTTAGATTAATTAATGAGATTTGCCTGGATCAACATAAACAGAGCAGCGCCACTGTTACTACTACAGTAGTTTTAATGAATGAATGAGTGGAATGGTCCATGTCGTCGGCAATGGGGCGGAAAGGTTGATATCAAAATTATTGCATTTTATTTATTTTTTTGTTGCGTGATTTAGGTCCTAGTATTCTTTTTTAAGGTCTTTCCACTCCGTTAGGAAAGACCTTATTGTTTTTCTAATTAAGGTCTTTCCACTCCGTTAGGAAAGACCTTACTAC